CTGCTTGCCTGTGCAGTAACTCTGTACACTAATAAATGCTTGTACGCTGGGAACTTTGCGTCAGCCTCAGGGGAGGATGTTCTGGCCTTCGGTGCAGGATTGCCATTGCATTTCCAAGGGGCTTCTATCAGCCTGAAAGCGTTGGATTTCTGATCTAAGTGGAAGGCGGGCTCTTGCTCAGATCTTGGGGATTTGAGCTCTGAAGGAACTCTCTTTTTTCAGGCCGTTTCTTGCATAAACAGCTTTGTAAAGTGAGCTGGCCCCCTGAGCCTGCAGATAGGCCAAGTGGTATCAAAGGCTTTAAGTCTCCGTGGCCTTCATAGGCTTCCAGAGCTTTGTTAGTGAGCTGAAATAGAGATGTTGTCCGTGCTTTAAAGCTGAGGAGCTTTGCTAATGCAGTTGATGGGTGTTCCCCTTCAGTGTACATCTCACAGTGGAGGTGTCCTCTTCATCCCCAGGAAAGGGCTGTGTGGGCGTTCGAGTGAATATGAAAAGCAGCTGTTTGGGAAGTGTGGGGGTCCTCTTGTGTCTTGTCCCTCCTGGGTTTTTTTCCTTCTCGAACTGTCATTTACTGCTCTTTGCTTTCCTTCTTGCAATGGAAGGGACCTTCCTTTCCTCACGTCCTGGAGAAATAGAAGCTGGGCCTGCTAGCTGGAGGCCCTGCGTGCAGAGGTTGCACTGTTGTATCCAGCTTGTTGTGTGGGAAAGCCTGGAGTAAGGGTGTTGCTGTGGCACAACTTCTTCCGAGCACTCCTGGTCCACAAAAGCCAGTGCACTAGGTGCTGTGCTATTTGTTTCATTGCTTTAATATCATAAGTAAAGCTCCTGAGGGTGAGTTTTGCATCAGGAGCTTTACAAGCACAGTTACCTCCGTAGTGTGACATGTGGTGTGCCTGTAGATGCTGACTTCTGGACCGCTGGAGTTCATGTGAGCGGGTCAATCCTTCCCCTTCCCATGCCAAGTCAAGAGGACACATAAGAAAATGCTCTTCAATACGTATTTCTGAGATCTTCTCATTCAATGTCCTTTCTGCCTCTTCCCTTGGCATCTGATTTTAGATGTTATGTTCCACTATCATGATTGTAATCAATCCACCTGAAAACAATGTTAAATAGGAAATAAAAGGTAGAGAGAAGAGTGAGGAGGACACTCGGAGGAATGAAAAGGCTTCTGTGTGAGTAATGGCGAAACAGGCCGTGACTTTTTCAGCTTGGAAGAGATGGTTGAAAGGGTATATTGTATTGCATGGATCATCCTGTGTACTGCTTACGAGGGTGATTTGGAGTGAGGATTCATCTATGCTTCGTCTTTAAAGAAGCAAAGAGTTTCAGTGGATGTTCTCCACTTGCTATCAGGCAGAAGATCCACATTTTACATGGAGATACACAGCTCTTCTGACAAAAGGACAGTTTTACACTGCCTGTGGGGATGTGTTAGACCCAACATATCTACTCCCAGTCACGGTGGGCACAGGAGCGGGTGAGATGGACCATCCCTCTGTAATTACGATTTTGTCTGTGACTTGCAGGGTGAGGGACTTGGAACGCTATTTTTTCGCTGGATGGTTCCGTGGTTTGCTCTGTGGCCGAGCATCCCTTCATCCCCGCACAACAGCGGCGTCTCCTCTTGTTGCCAATACGCAAGGAGTGATTTGGGGACTTTCTTTCCAGCAGGACAGTGGTGGTTATGCTGCTTCCCCTTCTGTGCGGCGTGCTGCTGGCGTAATAAGATTCAGAAAGCAAGAAACCATTGCAGAATGGGTTTCCTTTTACTGGAACTCAGGAATCTGGGTATGGTTTGGCTGTGCAGTAATGTTGCTGCTCTAGGTAGGTTAACTGTGTGCGTTGTGCAACTATACAGGAGTATGAAGTCATCGGAGGGGAAGGGGAGGTGGAATCTGCACTGCGACTCTGGACATCTAATCTTTGGTGCCCACTTAAGGCAGCTGCTCTCCTCAGAGTCCTTTTTTAGTCACTGCCAAGAGCTGCTTTGACTTGGAGGCTCCACCGAGGGCCTTGCATGCACCAGGAACAGGGGCTGAAGGGTCTCCAGACTCACTCCATCCGTGGTCGGTGACCGGTGCCGCTGCCGTCCTGTGCCATGCCCGGGCCTTGCCCCGATCCATGGGGCTCACTTTATCTAGAACTGGCAGTTTCATTGGGCAGAGTTTTGTTACAAAACTCTATCTTGTTTGACTTGATTGAGAAGTTGCAAGAAGCTGATGAGGCTGACCGGCGTAGCTCAGGGCGGGTTGTGCCGGCACCTCTGCTAGCGTTTATTCGCAAGAGGCAGGATCCTCAGTACAGCCCGAGGAACGAGTGACCCACTCGGCTGATGTGACCTGGAGTTTCTTGGAGCTGCTCGGTAGCTGTCAGGTCCTTTAGGATGGAAACTGCAGCGGCGCAGGCTCCCTCAGAGCCAGCCTTCGATCTGGATGCTTGGTTTCATCATGCTGCTGGCTGAGCAGTGTAGACTTAATGACTTTAACCTTCCACTTTTGTTTTCCTAAGGAATCTTCCTGTTTACAGGATCTAAAATGACAATGCTGCGTTATACCAGCTTGCTTAATCTGCTTTGCCATCCCTCCTCCCTTCTCCTTTTCATCTTGCTCTGTTCTTTTGTTCTTCCAAAGAACAAGCCTCACAAAAAGCAGGGGAGGGAGGCAGCAAACAGGGAGGGAGGCAGCAAACAGCGAACAAATCGGCATTCACACATTTTTAATGAATTTCTGCAGCTGGGTCTGAAACTGGTGGAGCTTTCTGGGGAAACACAGATAACAGAGGGCCCTGAAAATAGCCAGGTTATGAAAGCATGAAGAATGGGAACAGCAGCCCTGAATGTCAATGCTTGTTGTGCTTTGGAGGTTTCAGTATAGCCTAACGTAAAGCAGCTGGTTTTGTGATGTATTCGCCGCGTTTTGCTGAACCTAAGAACAAACACGGAGACTAAATTATTTGCAGCTGATGCTTTAATGTCCTTGGTGCTCAGTGGTCAGGGAGCTGAAGTGAATGTTCATGGTTGCTGATAAATCAGAAATGACTGAGCTAATTTAGGTCATTTTAAGGGTGGAAGTTTAAATAGTGGTTGATAACAGCAGCACTTTGGACCAACTCTGCTTTCAAGTGTTAATTAGATGCTGGATTGCTGGCATAGGTGTGATCAAATTAGTTCCTTGGGTGGAATGGCAGAAATGCTTGGTCAGGCTTTTCTGCTTATGCTGGTTCATGTGGTGCTTTATCCTCCCGTCAGCTTAGCTGCTATTTTCACTTCCAAGAAATGGAAATACTGAACAAAAAAACCGAAACCCCAACCCTCTGCTTATAAACAGATTTTGTTGAGGTGGATGAAATATAATGTTTAAAAGTCTTGGGTTTAATTTCTAAGCCTTATTAGGAATAACCTGAGCATACATGGTGCTTTTCAGGAAGCAGCAAGATCTGTCGGAGTCTGCGAGCTTTGACCTTTCAGGCATGAACAGTAGACTGGGATGTGCTGCTCGGGGCTGAAAATGAACGTACGCTAAACCTGAACTTTATTTAAAAGTCAGCTGAAATGTTAAGGCTGCAGCCTCCTCCTCGGCAAGCGTGGTTTGCTTCGACAGCTTTCTCTCATATTTGTAACTGCAGGCGAATTGCATGTGTCTAATATGAAATGTTTTTAATTTATAGCTGCCTGTAGTATTTATTATCTGCCGTTCCCAGCCGGGTATGTTAATCGGAATCAGAAGTACTAAGTTGTATGCCTAGCAGGGAACTTGGAGATCAGAAAATCCACATCCTTGTATCCTGCGCGATTCCGCCGGTGGGTCTGGGTCGGACAATCCCAGACACTTTTATCACCAAGGTTATTTGACCTCTTTATTTAAAAGAGTCCAGAGGCTTTTAGAGTAACTTTGATCTCCAGGCAGGAGGAGTCTGTTCAGAATTAACTGTACTTGCAGTTGATCGCACCTGCGGGCGGATTATGTAGCTTTTCAAAGCAATTGTGCAGGAGCCCCAGCAGCCAGGTTTCGGGATGCTGGAGGAGAGGGAAGCGCCGTTTCCACCTTCCCTTCTCCCTTGCTGCCAGCTCAGGGTTCCTCTCTGCAGAAGACGATGAGGGAGGTCGGAATGATGTTGTCTTCCTCCTTCAAGTCAAGGAGTTGTCAGCTGAGAGGGAAAATGAAATGTAAAAAGCTGAGTAGCTTAACTTTGGGGAGGAATTGGTGGGGCCCCATTTCAGACCTCCAGTAAGCGAGTCCTGTCAGAGTGTCATGGCCAGAGCTTCCTTACCCAATGCTCCTCTGGGACTTGAATGTAATGCCGAAACCTGATGTAGCTGCACAGCGCTCATGGCTGTTCTCTAATGTTTTACTTTATAGGCTTCCTTCAAGTCAGGAAAAATAACGCAAGCTTTATTGGACCATTATTTTCAAATATAACTCTTGACTCCGAAGTCTGCAGGGTCTCGGCGTACCGCCTTAAAATGCCATTTCTTGGATTTACAGTCTAAAATAGTTCTCTCTCCTCCCCTCCTTGCTTTCCTCCCCCCAGATCTCAGCTGGTAAACAAGTGCCACTTCCCAAGTCTGAGCACTTGGAGCTCCCAGGGCTCCTGTATGCCAAGTGCTGTGGCTGTCAGCGAGAAGGATGTGTTCAGGTTGTCAGTGCTCCGTACCATACCTTTGCTTAGCCCCAAAGTCCTTCTTGATAATTGCAGAGGGGTGGGCTGCCCAAACTTGCATCTGCTTGGCTGGCCGTCTCACCTAGCTGTGGGTGAAGCTGCTTTGTTAGGGCTGTTGCATGCTCTTGGCACTGTGACCAGCCAGTTCAGAAGAGTTACTAGCGATGGTTCTCAGGTTTTTGCCATTTACTGTGAGCTGTGGGATGAGGCAGGGAGGGAAGAATCTTTGCTTTCCGTTTTAAAGAGTAGTTCTGAGCTGCAGATGAGCTCTTCTGCTTGGGCTTTGGGTATGGTTCGCTTGGTTTAGAAGGAGGGGAGAAAGGTGGAGGGAGGGGAAGTGACTCTCACAAAATTCTCTATTAATTTTTTTTTAATTTCCTGCGGTATGTGTCTTGTAGTTACATTAAATCTTGAAGGCTTCAGCTGTCCTGTGTTCCTCCTATTTCCATCTGTCAACCAGTTAAAGCTGTGAGGCTGAGCAAGCTCAAAGATGCCTTTGAGCCTTCTTTTGAAGATTGCTCTGAAGTCTTCTGGCTCTGTAGTTCTGAGTTTAAAAATGCACAATCTGACGTGCACGTGGGCACAATGACATTTGGATACTTTAATGAGCACGAGGTATTGATGAAGCTGGTGACTGCAGCTGGAGGGTGCTCAGCTAAAGCCCCTCTGTCTTGCTAGCTCCCCAAATGCGGAGCTTTAAACTTATACAGATTATAGCTGTTATATCTATCATTTACTGTGAATTATTATAGTCTAACCTCTGAAAAAGGTGTTAAATGAAGAGACTTGCACTTGCTCTGTTGGGGTCGCTGCAACTTAAGCATAAAATTTGGCTCTGGTGGGGCTACAATGTCTTGTGGGTTGGAGAGGATGACAGAGGTTGCGGTGGGAAGAGCCAAGTGCCCGTAAAAACACTGGGAGACCTCGCTAAACTTCCTTTGATGGGGTTTTCTCTAGTCGCCTGTTCTGAATTTTCTCCTCCTTCCCAGCTGAAAGCTTCTCTCGCTTGGGAGTTTTATTGTGCTGAAGGCTTTTATTCTAAGAAGGCACGTGATGGAATGACAGCAGCATCTCTCGGGGAAGCACATGAGTATTTCTAGCACAATGCCCACAGCGTTATCAAGGAGATGCTTTGCATTTCACTTCCCCATTTTGGTCAGTGGTTCAGTGCTTGATGAGCAGAGCACAAAGCACTGAGGGAACCAGGTTGGTGAGCTAGGGATGCCTCCAGAAACTGGTAGGAATTTGGAGAAATACAGTCACTGGCCGTGTGCTGGCCAGCACATCCAGTTTGCTTTGTGAGAAGCAGCAGGGATTTTAGGAGTGGGCTTTAGAAGCGGGCTCTGGGCATGGCAAACCTTGCATCTGGTTTGGTGGTTCTGTTGCAACAGGTTGCTTTCGTAATACTTACTGGGAGGTGTTATTTTATCCTCGAGTTCTCTAAACACTCTTAGCACCAAAACAATGTGATTTATGAAATGCAATGAATACAAAGCTCGTTTTTTAGGAGCATTAGGTCTTAATCATACATGGTTGTGAATCCGCAGTGAAGTAGCAGCTGCTGAGAGGAGTATCTGACTTCCTTCCTTGTTAGTATTTAAAACTCTCCAGGCTTAGTGAGCTTTTCCCTTATTCTGCCTCCACCTGCATTCAAATTATACTTCATTTTTGTTCCTTCTTGCCTGTCCCGTAGGCTGCATGGCATTCATTTTCCTTGCATGTGGCTTTACTGGTGTTTGAGGAGTGCAGGATTTTTTCTTGGCTGCTTGAGACCAGCAGAAAAGCCCCTGGTGCCCCTTCAGTTTCGCAAACAAACCTTGAATAAGGGCACAAAGGTGAAGAAATTGGGGGACTGCCCCCCCTCATCCTGAGGTCTTGCAGAGGGACCTGCTCTGAAGCATAAAAGTACTTTCCATGCTCGTGTGGCTACTTGGGTTTCCGCTTTAAGATGAAGATTACCAGAGGAATAACTTAAACTAGCCCTGCTGCGAGACTTGTACTTACTCTCTGGCAGCCTGATATTTAAAACAAATGTCAGAACAAGCTCCTGGGGTGGTGGCTTGCAATCCAAACTGCACGTCGGGGGGGGGCATAAACCAGTGAGTAGCTGACTTTGTAAAGAAGGAGCACTCAGCTGTATGTTTGCTGTCGGTTATGCAGGGTGTCTTCTCGGCTGCTGCCTCTCATTGAACGTCAGAGCTGAAACCATCTACCCATGAAAACAGCTTGCTCAGTGCTGGGCACTTCATGGTGTAGATTCTTCACTGAAGTCATTTATTTCACCAAATGTGTGGGTTTGAAGGTGTTTCAGTACAAACATGGTCTCTGACTTCTTTTGCCTTTAATTCCTGAGAACTTGTTGCTTCTGGTGAGCTGTACTCAGTCTGCTTTTGAGCAGGAGGGTCCTTAATGTGAGCGCTGAGGGTGGCGGGGCACGGGGCGTGGGTACAGGAATAGGGATGCACGCACCCCTATGCTCTGAAACACAAGCCTGAAAGTGGTAAATGTCTCCTGGGCTGCATAAGTAATAGCAGTTGTGAAAAATTAAGTTTAAAAATGGGAACTGGCTGTCTTGATCCCTTGATGTCAGTATTTTACCTAGTCAAACCGAAGCACGGTTCATATCGGGTTGTTGGCTTGCCCGTAAGGAAGGAAAATGATACAGCTTAATCTTTAAAATATGTCTTGGCAAAACAAATCTGACAGGTATGTCTTCCTACTGTAAACAGGATTTGGGATCTGGATTCTTGTGCAAATTACCTTTTGACAGTCGTTACTAAGCCAGTGCTTCCAAAAACCAATAAATGTTTTTTGTCCTTGTTATATTAATAACTCAGTCCCTTGATTATACTGAAGCCTGTGAAGGACCTTACAAAGGGATATCCATGTTTAAAATAAAGTTCTTTCAAGTGAGAAATAGAAAACCAAATTCTATTAGCCCCTAATTTTGCAAAGTAATTAAAAATCCTTGGCCTGCCCCATTCCACCCATCTGTTAGCAGTAGGTATAGCAGAGAGGATATAAGCCTCGCTGCTAATTTTAGCCTGGTGCCGGGGGGGTGCATGCCTGCGTGGGTGCACGCAGCGTGGCATCCTTCCCCCTGCAGAGGGGCCATGGATGCGACTCCCATCTCCCAATTTGTCCCTTGGCTGGAGGAGGTCTCAAGACATGTTGCTGTCTGGCTTTTGCAGCACCTTTGAACGCTGGTGTCGCAGGGCTTGGCGATCCTGGAAGCGGTGAGGGTAAGAAGTCACGGCAGAAGATGAACCAAAGGTGCTGCGTTGGTGAAAATGGCTGGATGCTGATTGAGCTCCGGCTGTGTGGTTGGCTCGGAGGGCAAACCTGCTCCGTGTGGGAGGTGGGGGTTAATTCATGGGAGGAGAACCCCTGCAAGATTTTTAGAAGCTTCTGGTGTAACCCTAAGACAAGCCAGTCATTTCTGCTGTAGCAAAAATGCAGGAACCAGAAGGGCAGAACGGAGAGAAGCTTCAAAATGGTGAAATGGCAGCTGCACGCAGTGGCTTAAGTAAGGCTGTTGGCTGCTGCAATTTAACGACTGGTATTACAAGTTAAAATGAGGTTCACGGGGGCTGTTTCAGAGCTGGGGTGTGCTGAGCTGAGCAGGGACACAAGTGCCCAAAGGGCTGCCCCACTGTCCCTGCACGGTGGTCCAGGAGCGGCCGTGGATGAGGACGCCTGAAGCCACGTCTGATAGCACGGGGTTATCTCTTTGGCTTTCGACGATGATATCTACTTAAGAATGGTCAGCTTGGCTGCTTCCAACTACAGCAGCATCCTGAAACTTTACACTTGTCCTCTTGGGTGCCTGCAGGTACAGCCCATGGTGGGAAGGGAGAAAATACTCTTGGCAAGCCATCGGCAAGGTCCGGGTTCTTTAATCTGGAGCTGTGAATTAACCAGGTCTTTTCTTTCAGTTCATAAGACGGGACATGTAGGGATTACCGGTGCTATACATAGATTGCTCTTAGCTGTGTCCTGTTCTGCTGGGAACACTTAAGAGCTGTGTCCGCCTCGGGGCCGGGGATCCTGCATGCTGTTCGTCTGTTGTTGTTCACCCTCTGCAGAGTTTCACTTGGTGGGACACTGGCAGGACCAGAAGAGGCCAACCCTGAAGCTGGAAGCACTCAGAAATTGGGTTTCCTCAGTGGGAAATCCATCGGAAAGGGTCTGTGTGTGGGCTGGCTACTGCTTCCCAGGGTGGGAGTCAAAATGCAATTCTGAATGTAATTTGTTGGGGTTTCTATCTGAACACAAGGGGGGTTTTTTTGGTGGGCTTTTTTTAAGCGCATGTGCAGCTCACCAGGGATTCGGCTGTGGTGTTGGATTGTGTGCGTCCGTGTGTGCGCATGGAGATAACAAACCAAGGCGTAATCCAGAATTCCTCTGCTTGATAGCCCCTTATCTCCGAGCCTGCGCTGCGTGTGGTTTCTCTCTTGGTGGGTCCCATCGGAGGTGCTGGCTCTGTAAACACAGTTGCTGGTTTTCATGTTGAAGATCTGGGAGGGTCCTGCTTCACTGGCTCCTGAAATAGCAGGGGGGAAGCACCCAAAAGTGAGCTCTGGCCAAGGACATACAAAGAAGCAAACCCTCCATAGCTTGTCAGGGAAATAGCTGATATCGGCAAACAGGCACGTTTGAACTTTTTTCAGGATACCGCTGAAATTACAGCCTGCTCCGCAGAACTCATTAACATTTTAATATTGGATCCTTTGATTTCTCATTGTCAGGCAGCACATCGGTGAGGGTGTGTGTAAGGTAACCGGCAGCGCATGTATAGGTGTTGGTATTCTGGTTTAGTGCTCCAGTTGCATTTGGCAACGAGTGTTCTGTGAAAACGACTTAAAATCCTTTGAATTCCAGTGGAGCAGACCACAAGCAAGAAGTGTTCTCCTAGGTGAAGCTGCTTTGCACAGGATACGTGACTCGATGTTTTTTCACTGAAGCTAGCAGCTGCCAAAGTGATCCTGTGCTGCCTATTGAGCTGTGGATTGGCTGCACGAGAAGAGCACTCAAGCTAAAGAAAAAAAAAAAGTGTGTGTATATAACAATAAGTGCAGACTGCTCAAAAAGCATTAAATTCTGCGGCACGCTCCAAGTACTGCACCACCTAATAAGTTCTCTACAGCAGTCGTACCGAGGAATCTCGCAAGCCCCTCTCGGAGTGCAGCGAGGGAGCTGTGTTGCTGTAAAACGTTGGCTTGAGCGTGCAAACCATTGAGTACCAACTGGATTCGTGAGCCCTCTTTATGCACACCTCGTTTGGAGGTTTGAGGGAGAGTGACTCGCTTAGCGTCCCTTGAGGACAGAAAATATTATTTGCAAGCGTAGCTAAAAATGAAGTTTCCTGTTGGCAGAGTGGGGATGAGTCACCGTGGGCTTGAGTCGAGGGCCAGGAGCTTCCCTTCGCTGCAGCAGGTTTTTACTTTCAGATGTGCTCTTCCACAGCAGCAGGCTCAGGTCTTTGTCACTTCTGTCCCTGTTACCGAGCAAACGAGGCGTGATGCTCCGGATGGGTCCGCACCACAGTGGTGAGCACACCCTGGTCGGTCCTGAGGGCAGCTGCACCTACCGCACCGTGGAGTTACTGGTGAGGGTCTAGCCATGGCTCTCCCAGTCTGTCCAGTTACACCAGTATCCTTTTACAGAACTACGTGCTTTTTTTTTTTTTTTGTACCATTGCCTATTGTCATTGGTGTTAGCTCTGTTTTCCCTGTTCCTCGCCGTATGTGGCACCTTTTTCTGCATCCAGCCAGGTCTCCCCCAGGAGGGGAGGAAGACTGGGGACATTACCAACTGCATCATGCCAGGAGGTTTGAGGTTGGTCTCCCCATTTCATGAAGGGGTTTTTATTGCAGGTTAGATTCCAAGCTAGACTGGAGAACTGTGTGTATATGAAAGCGTTAAACTTTCCTGTGCAGTTCTCATTGAAAACAAAACAAAAAAAACCCCCACCATAATAATTTTAAAACTGAAGTGCTGGTGAAGGGCATTGAAGCTGTGCCAGGAACGCTCTTCAGTAGCACCCTTAATAGCTGTCGATTTGTAGGAGGCAGTCTCTAGCAGTACTGGAGGTGTTAGTCTTGTGGGAGGATTTACCTTGCTTATGTTTACAGAAAGGGACACTAATTTTTCATCTTCCTACTTGTTTGAGTTGTGGTGTGTTTTTTTCTTTTAAGAAAGCCTGAACAGTGCTGCTGAGAATCTGAAGACCATTTCTTTCTAGGGGAAAAAAATGAAGTTTTATATGGCAGCATAAGGTACTACAAATTCACAGAGAAAAGGCACTCATTATATTTTATTAAGGAGATTGTAAGCAGACTTTGGGAAGAAGAAAAATGTTCATTAGTTTGGTGTTCATTCTCTTTATGTACTTGAGAATAAAGGAAAAAAAAGGTGCGTTGTCTCTTATGAACTCGCAGTGAGGAATGAGGCACTAACCTGGCTTCAGGAAGACTCAGCCCAAAGTGATATTTTGCAAAAACCTCCAGATAATCGTTGGTACGTAACAACTACAGGAATAACTTCAGAGCCCTTATTGCAGAGGCTTGCCTGCAGATCAGCAGTTTTAAGTGATTTATGTCAATGTATGAGGAAGAATACCAGAACACCATCTTTTCTAAAGTGCTGGCTTTTGTGTTCCTGGTGCAGATCGAAGAAAGAGGGGCAACTGCTCCTGTTGCTGGAATTCTGCTTGTTGTGGAAATCTGTAATTTTATAGAGAGTCCCGTGCATCAGCGACGCTGCCTGGAAGGGCAATGTGCCATGCGGTGGGAAACGGCTGCATCTTGCTGGCATGGTTTTTGGCAGCCAGCTCTGGCAATAGCTCCAGGTAGCTCAGAAGAGAAGAAATAACTTGTAAGAATTGGGGAAAAGAAGTGAAAGTACCTGTTCTGTCACTCAGGCGATTTGCTTTTCTAGACACCATGCTTAAGAAAAAGCAGATTTTGTTCACGTCAGAGCTCTGGTCTATCTCTTCTGTAGCAACAAAATCGTGTGGTTTGGTTTCTTACCCAGCTCAGGCTGGAGAGGAGGAAAGGCAAAGTCACTAGGATTAGCAGATTGTCCAGCTGCTTCAAACTCTTGAAGTGCTGTGATTCAAGACCAGACTTAATCCCAAGTAGCTTTTTTTGATCTTTAACTTGAATCAACTGAAGCTACAAATGGCTTTGCTGTGTAAAAACTCTTCCATAGCTGTTAACAATAAATCCCATTTCTCTTGACCTCTTCCCCTTGCACCCACCCCAGGTGCCATGCTCTTGCTTTGGTGTTGGGTGTTAACTTCCAGGCATGAGAGCCTGGCCTTGGTTTCTTGGAGTGGTTTGGCTGCTTGTGGGTGCCAGAGCTCAGGTGCAGCTTAAAGTTTGAATTTTTTCCAGAAGTAGATCTTGTCAAACCAGAGTCCTGCAACTTTTGTCTTATGTGCTGCTTCTACGTTGACTTTTATTGCAGTATTGCCTGTTAGTTGAGCTCCATGAGTTGACTGGTGGTGTTCTGGAAGAAAACCTTAGACTTTAATGCATGTGGCTTGTGCTAAAAACGTAGCACAATGTATGCTTAAACAAAAGCAGAAAATACGGAATCTGATAGTTGTAGTGTCAGCGGTTTGCTGGTGGCGGTTGAATCTGAGTGCGTTGTTCCTATGGGAATTGCAGTCACAGTTTCGCGATTCATTTGTAAATCTCTACCAATGAAGACTGTCTTGACTTCGACAATAGTAATGTATCTTACTTTGGCAAAGTCTTATTTTTTTGCTTAAATGTAATGTCCTATTACTGTTACGCTAACTCACATGATTCCTACTATTACTCTCCTTGTATCTTCCACTCTGGGATTTCAGATGGGTACGGAATACTCCTTGCTTCCTCTAATAGCCCCCTCTATTGTTTTCCGGAGACACCTGTCAATTTTATTGAGCTTCTGTCATAGACTCTCAGTCTGCCGACTCCTGCAGCTGGAGACGACTGCGTTCCAAATCGAGAATAGACACAGATGTTTGGTCATCATACAGATATACCTGTATCTGTCCATAGATTGATATAAAATGAGTTATTCCCTTGCCTTGATGAGGGGAGGGCTTCTTGCAATGTTTCTTGTAAGATTTTAAATGAGTATTTGGAAGTGGTTTAGGTGTTTAGCTTATAGGTAGGTGTTCTTTTGTGTTGAAGATGGTGAATGCTGATGCTAATGAAGTTGGTATAAATATGTACTTCAAGGGTCCTAGAGGGGGAGACGAGTTCTTGGCCTTTTTAGGAACTTGAAACTTGTAGTTAAGTACTCTTCCAACAAAAAAAAATAATCTGGAAAACCTGCCGTTTGTCCTAAGAGCTCATACATCTGTTGCAGTTCATAAACTCAGAGGCCATGAACTAATACTGTTCACTCTTCGTGGTGTTGTACATTTTACAGAAGGCGTTTTATCTCCCAGCGCTGCTCTCTAGACTTTTTAGAAGACATAGTGGAATATGCCAGTGTACGAAGGTACTTTTTTCAAAAGCAGCATTAACCTCAACTCGTTGCATGTAGTCCTCTCCTCCCTCCACCCTCTTCCACGCCAAAATCCGAGGTCCTGCATGCTAGTGCTGCCATCTGATCATACAACTGGCATGACCCTTTTTTTTTTTTCCAGACACCTAATGGGTGGTGGTGGTTTGTTTGTTTTTTTGTAATTGCAGAACCAAGCATATATCTGGGTCTCCAAGACACAAAAGTTTGAAGAAGATGCACTTCATCAAGAACATGAGGCAGTATGACACCAAGAACAGCAGGTAACTTCTGGAGATCAAGGTGCCTCCTGTGCTTGGGTGCAATAGGATGCCCTCCGCAAATGTGATTAGCCATTTAATGTCGGTGGGAATAAGGTGATGTCCTTGGGGTCTTGTTAATCTTGCACACACTTACACACTTCTGTTGAAGGCAGTAGGTGCTCCTATCTGCTACACCTGCAGCAATATTCTGGTGGTTCTGCCATCCTGCTTTGAGGAGGTTAAATCATTCTCTTCTAACACCCTTCTTATCTCCAGCACGCAGAGAGGCTAGAGCTGGGGAGGATTTAAGGAGAATGGTTTGGTTTAGCCAAATTCTTGGCTCATAGTTGTTGGGACGAAGAGAAGGGGAGGGGGGCACATTCATATTTATTATTAAGAGGTGCGAGACTTCACCTGAATGTAAAATATTACCTACATCTTTTCACAAGGTTTATGTAAAAGTTACTTAAATATAGAGATACATATTTAAAGACCAGCATCTCCTTTGAGGAGCTCCCAAGGTGATGGCAGTTACTGAACGCTGGGGTTTGATACAGAACTGGGCTCTAAGGACCTACAGGGTCAGAATGGAGCCTCTGCTTTTGTGCTGCTTTCTGAAAACGTAAAATTGGCGGCAGTATCTGTGTAAAATCCGCGGCAGTATCTGTGTAACGTACAGAGCAATTTAAGAGGAGTTCTGTTTTCATGGTCCGTAAGAAGTTGCTTTGTAACTTCTGAATCTTCTTACCCTGATCTCTTCCCATCTGCTTACAGGATAGTGTTAATCTGTGCTAAACGAACGCTGTGCGTGGCTTTTTCTATCCTACCTTACGGGGAGAGTTTACGGATCAGGTGAGTCACCTTTAACTGCTTCATGAAATGCCTGGCCTGTTGTTGGTGAAAGTTGTTTTTTTTTTTTTTTTAAAGGAGTGTGGTTGGTGTTGGTCTCCTGCTTTGAAGCAGGTGAACTTACTTAAATTGCCATTTGTGTGTAAGGACAAGAGCTTGCTATCGGAGCAGTAAAACCAGACGTTGCCACAGTGTCCAAGTGTTCATTCAAACTCCAAGAGAAAAATAGCGCAAAAAAAGTAGACTTTTCTTCAGGTGTTTATTGATGTTTTAAAGCACTCCAGCCCTGTGAAATCCCTGAAACCAACTTTGGTGGTGTGATTTGTTGCTGTGTAGGATTTCCTCTGCTCCTAAAGTGGTCAGAAATAAACCATCTTTAGTGCAACAATTGTGTCAGCAAAAAAGCATACAGGGAAGGACGCTGCCGCCTTTACTGGAAGCCTTCAAGGTTTTATAATGAAGTTCCATCTAAATCAGTTTAAGATGCACTTCTGTGTTTCAGCTCTATGCCATGAATGTCACTATTTGCAGTCCAAGAAAAACAGGAACAGTTTAGACTGATTGCAACTGCTTTTAGTGTTTGTACTGCATTTTTTTTATAGAACTGTCAATATGATCATTTATGAGAAACCAAACCTGGGAACTGGATTTCCCTGCAGCTTTGCTCAGTCCCTTGTGAAGTCTAAGTTGATTCTGTGAAGGTCTGCGATCAAAAAGTATACCATAGAAAATACTAATCTTATTCTAATGCACTTTTGGGCAAAACAATCGTGTTGTCACTTGTGTCCTGTACATAACTTATGGACAGAGGAAACGGATGTTTAGTTGTGGGAATTGTATTGTATGCAAATGCACTTGCTGTAAAAATAGTTGATGAGAAAATATTCTCTCACTTCATAGAAAAGCAGCAAGGTCACTGGAGCTATTTCAGAGCAGTTCGGAGCCCTGTGTCGTTCTGCTTGTGTGTAAGCTGGCAATGCAGTTCTTTAACTGAAAATTGCTTTTTCGTGTTGGAATATAGGTGACAAAGCTGCATGCTGCCATCGCTGAAGCGGGGCTCTGCTAGCAGCCTTAATTCTTAATTTGAGCTTGTGCACGCAAGCGGTTGGAAAATTGCAATTGAAAGGCAAGTTTCTAATCCTGGAAAACTAGTAATATAAATCATGTTTGCTGTTAAGTGTTTGAGCATTAGTGTGTTAACAACCAGTATGGTCTTATGCAGAAAGACCATGTTAAAAAAAAGTTTTTACGTTTTCTAGGTCTGTTAGATTTACATTAAAATGATATGAAATCCGATTCTTCAACTAAGGACTCTTTTCAAAATGTAGAGATGTTCCTTAAAAATTAATGCTTCCTTGGCGATGGGATTGAGGGGTTGCACTGTTCCCACATAGAAGCTCTGACCTGGTGGTGGTGGCTGTAGCTAGTGGATGGACCTGGTGCTTACCATAGGGGAAGCTGGGCTTTGCCAAGTTTTTTTCAATAGTGCATTTTCTTATCTGCATTTAGTGACCTAAAAATGGAAGGACAGAAGCAGCGCCATCCTTCTGGGGGAGTTTCAGTCTCCACTGAGATGGTTCTTGGACTGGAAGGAGTAGAGCTGGGTGCTGATGGCAAGGTAAGGATGTTTTTGGGTGGGCATTTGTGGGGTTTTGGTTTGGTTTTGGGTGGTTGGTGGGGTTTTTTTTGTCTCTTGATCTGTAATGCCAATGACCATTTTTTGGGTGGGCATTTGTGGGGTTTTGGGTGGTTGGTGGGTTTTTTGTCTCTTGATCTGTAATGCCAATGACCAAACCACTGACTGGAGCTGGAGACAGCGGGTGGATAAGCTGGCTGCTTTCACCCTGGGACCCTTTCATGCTGGGGCAAATCACTTTCTAGATGGCAAGCACTGCATAAATTGAGAGCAGTGGAAGTTTGTTTCAGTCCTTAACATTTGAAATGTTTGGCTTGTGATAAAGCTGCTTCTGAGGAGTCTGTTGAAGCCCATGATCACTTCTGCCTTCATTTGTGAAGTATTAATTTGACTCTGGTATCTCAGGCAACATGCAAGTCACATTTTGATAGAAATATGGATGAAATTTATACCTCTTTAGTTAAATTTATATTCTGCCAAAATTTTACTGATGTGATTCTCCCCTTTCCTTTGCCACCCCACCAAATCTTCTACAGCACTTCCATGCTGAAGTCTTGGAAGCAAGGCATTCCTCAGCAATCTTTTCCCTTTCCTCCTGTCCCACAATTTCAAGGTCCCCACTCCCAAATACAAACTCCAGGGTACTCTCTGAGTTGAAAACCCCAGATGTCTGGAAATAAGCTTTTCCATAAATTTTCCCCTATAACAACTTTCCTTTCTTTAAGGTTGTGTCCTATGCAAAATTCTTGTATCCGACCAATGCCCTGGTTGTTCGCAAAGCGGACAGCCATAGTGCTGTTCCCTCATGTCGAGCCGGTGCTTCACGGAGTCTTCCTGGGTCAAGATACAAAACTGTGACAGCAAAAACGATACCAGCAGGCACAGACATCGGTAAGGACAGCTTTGTCGCCACTTGTGCGCACAGCAGAAAAACATAAATGTGTGTCTGAAACAATTGCGGGTGGTAAAGTGCGTTATTAGGAAGGATGTGCTGCAGCTGGAAGGGGACAGTTTTTAGCACAGCCTAGCGAAGAAGGCTTGTTGGTGCAGTATAAATGATGAGCCTTAAACTGAGGCTTACGCACATTCCTTGTGTCCTCTGTATACCTGGGCTTCTTCTGTTTATGCAATTCAAGGAGTGCAAAGCTATTTCCTTGGAACTGTGAAGTTTTATGTTACTCGGCAAGAAACATCTGGTGTACGTAGGTACACGTGGTCCCCCTGGCCTTCTAACTCAGTAACAACGCATAAGCTGAGGAGTTTGTGACAAGAATCCCTTCTCTTGTGTAAAAGGGCAAACCAGACAGCTCTGCTGTCTGCTAGAGTATAGGCAAAAGAATTCAGTCTTGTGCGATTGTTTTCTGTGTGTATTTGTGGATGACAAACAGTTTGCACTAAGTCTGAAATGGTGCGTCGGGCACGTGCTGGAGAAAGAGCTTGTGTGGGTTTTGCTAATAATTCTAATATCTGGCTGGTGTGTTCATGGATTGCAAACTGGTGACTGTAGCTGCAGTTTGCCTGTGCTGTGGGGTCTGCCAACACTTGTAATGGTTGCTGTTTGAAAACTTTTTGTAAAGAGGAAACGGGGAATTTAAAGCTCTGTATCTGGTGACCCGTTGTTGTGCTTTCCTCACTCCGCTCAGGAAGCGAAGCTGGGGAAGCCGCAGAGTACGATCCAAATCTTCTGGATGATCCTCAGTGGCCCTGTGGGAAACATAAACGTGTTCTCATCTTTGCCTCTTACATGGTGAGTGGCTGGTGTACCTGACCAGAGAAGTGAGCGAGTGCCTGGAAGATCCTCCTCTAGCGAACTTGCTTGAGGAAGAAGGCTGCTTCTAGGAAGACGAAGTTGTGGCTCTTTGAGAATTGCTTAGGAAAAATACAAATAGTTGGGTTTCTGGACTCAGCTTATTGAGGATCAACCTGACATCTATCTCCATGTTGTCATTTGCTTCTTGTAATCATTTGCTTACTAGTTTTTAAAAATTTTTGCCTGTGGTTGAGATTCAACCTCAACCTTCAGTCTATTACTCAGGACATTCTAGAAATGTTAAATTGCGAATAATCAAACTCGGGTTTGCCTTTGCATCTCTCTCTTTGGGAGACTTGTTTGGCTGTCAGTACTGTTCATGAGAAAAATGATAAATTTTGCCTCTTGTGTTTCAGACTACAGTCATAGAATACGTGAAACCCTCGGACCTTAAAAAGGACATGAATGAAACCTTTAGAGAGAAGTTTCCTCATATCAAGTTAACACTGAGCAAAATTAGGAGGTAAGAAACAAGCGTTGAATAATGAGAACATCTACGCTGTGCAAGGCTGCTTTTATCCTCCACTTGTATGGAGCAAGATCTATTAATAGTATATATGATTAAACACTAATCTTTTGTTGCCAGTTGAGGTGACTGTAGGATGACAGCCCCATACAGGAATGTTTAGGGCTGAGAAAGGGTAACAGTTGCTTGTCATAGTTCAGCCTAAAAGGGTTTTGTTTCACCAACTGTGGTGTACTCACACTCATAGCCAATTAACGGTGAAGCAGCATTAGCCTTGAAATGACCACTTGTAACCCAGTTGTGTGGCTGTAGTGCAGTCCCACTCTAAAGGGATTCTCTTTCTGGACCCTCTGGTTATTTTTGCCTTTCGATTGCCAGACGTGCTGATGATTGTGGACTCTAAGAAGGTTCTAGGATAAAGAGTGTTAGGTCTGAGGAGTCTTGGTGAAGAAGAACATTTTGTGAAGGCAGGGCTATGCCACGTGAATTCCTCATCTCCCAGGAAATGCGTCCAGCTGTGCGTCAGCAAGATGCACTGTTGTGCCTTCCAAGAGCTGTAATCTTGCTGGTATTACGCAGTGGTTAATGCAGTCGGGGCCTTCTGAAATAGCCTGCTTAAACACTATTCTGCTGAATCACCAGGGCTATGTGTAACTCTCAACTCTGAGTGGAAGGCTTGCTCAGTCTGAGGGTGTTCTGCCAGTGTCCTGCATACTCCTCTTTGTAGCTGTTTTGAGTAGTGTGCTTGCACAGGTACCTTCTTGGAGGTGTAGCATGGATGGCAGCCACGAGAGGCAGCATTCACCATAAAGTGAAGTGAAGGGGCAGCCGTTGTGGGAAGTGTGTCCTCGAGGTGTGTAGGAGACAGCTCTCTCTGCAACAACTGCTGTGATCCGCACGGCTTTGATCTGGTAGCGCGTAGGTCAGGGTGGTTCAGTCTTATGATATGAATCATGAACCAGTTCAGGAGCCCAGAGGGACCCGTACAGCAATAGCCTGTGTGTCCGTGGGGCAGCTAAGCCCGTGGTGTGTGTGGGCAGATGTGGAACTGTTCTTCCATGGCAGATGCTGTCAGCCGGGTTAAAGCAGTTTGTGCATCAGCTCCAGCTTGCTGCCAGCTGGGCTTCTTCAGTCTAGGATAATACTCATCACAGTTTTCCAACCAGGACTCTCGCCCATATGCTCTTCTAGAGTTCCTTTGCTGCAGTGTTTCTAGAGCATTTTGTAAAAGCTGTCACGTTTGAGAGCCTGTCTTTTTTTCCTATTCCCAGTTTAAAGAGAGAGATGCGGAACCTGAGTGAAGAGTGCAATCTGGAGCCGGTTACTGTCTCCATGGCTTATGTTTACTTTGAGAAGCTTGTCCTCCAAGGCAAACTCAACAAACAGAACCGCAAACTGTGCGCTGGCGCTTGCGTTCTGCTTGCAGCCAAGATCAGCAGTGATCTCAGGAAACATGAAGTTAAACACCTTATAGACGTAAGTACTACGAGACTTGTTTCAGGTGCTGTCAGAACCTTTTCTCTAGCTCATAGAACAGGACAACGATGAAAGCCGAGACTTTCAGCAGCGCATGCTTGCATTTAAGACCAGCTCTTTCAGTTTTATGCCTCATTAGGGCTCTTCCTTGATGTGTGTGGGTTTTTTTAATTCATTCGAACTGCGACTGTGCAGTCCAATGTTCTACTGATTCTACAGTGAGGTTATTTTTACACTTACTGCCTCTCAGGCACATGTATGTCACTGCTGTGTGGCTGTCACAGCCGAGCTGATAAGCTGGTTTACTTGTCTGATCCCTGGAAACACTTTGGCTTCTGTAGGTACGGTTCTGGCCATGCATCGTCAACTCCTGTTTTATGCTGAGTTAATCGTTGGTATCTTATTAGTGAATACAGTCTCCCCCCCCCCCCCCCCCCCTTTTTTTTTTATTGCTATCGTAGAAACTAGAAGAGAGATTCAGATTCAACAGAAGAGATCTCATTGGGTTTGAATTCACCGTCCTTGTAGCTTTGGAACTGGCGCTCTATCTTCCTGAAAACCAAGTTTTACCTCATTACAGACGGCTCACACAACAGTCTTAACCAAAGCTGTGTTCCAGCTGACAGCCGGCGGTGCTGGGGATCGCATCATGGAACGCTGCTGGCGACGTTGCCACCGGCCTTTCTGCGCCGCTGCGTGCATCCTGCCGTGGCCACAGCGGGTTTCGAAGTCTGCGGTGTGTTATTAAACTGTCGAGGTGTGCGTTACAGACCCGTATGCCAAGTCTGGGGGATGGTACGAGAAGAGTTGTTGAACTCTTTATTTTCTTTTGGACATTCAAAGCACAAATGCTCACCAGTCAGCTGTCACGGCTGCTTATTATTCCTTATTTATCTTTTTGGTTTTACTAAAACTGTTCTTCCCTATGAAGAATACTATGGTATTGTTTCTTCATATTTTTTTTAAGGCTTTATTGTATTCCTTGAAACTAAAGGAAGCATCACTTTCATTCCAGTGCACCATAAAGCTCAGATGTTTCTAAGAATCTTCTCGCATTTTTACATTAATGAAATGCATACTTTATTTTTTTAAAGATGTGCCTAAAACTGGCTGGTCCGGTACCAGTGCTTTTTAAGTTAGTTGTGTTATTTAGTGGGGAATCCTGAATTTGTATTGGTGTTTATTCTTTACCTGCATTGGCCTTGCATACAAGGAAAACAACTGCAGTGTATCTGCACTGAGGATACACAGGGCATCTGTTCTCTACAGTGCTATAGACCTGTAAGTAGCAAGATTGAAATGACTCCGTTCCAGTTCAGTTTACTGTTGTTACCCTAGAAATACACATTTTACTTAAAAAGGAAAGAGGATTTGAAAATCTGTCATGAAATACCACGTGTTGAACAAGGTAGCTGCAGCAAAGCGATTGCCATCCTAAGTCACGCTTCAGCGGAAGATGAGCGATTTGCTGTCATGCACCTTTTTGGGGTTTTAGTGGTTTCGCCGTTCTTTAGTCTGAAACAAGCACTTTTTGGCACGACTGTATTATATATGGTCTTACGTGCTCTGAGCAAATACTTAAGTCAGTCAAGCGACTGCTGCCAAACGAAGCCAATGGCACAAAGCGTGCTCGATATTGAAAATGCGACTTTTTTCTTTTTTTTTTACTCTGTTCTTCCAAGCATTGCATCACTGTGACGGTCCTCGGAAAGCTGGAGTTTGTTGCACAGCTGAGCAGCCCCTTCAGGGCTGGTGCCCAGCAGTGCCCTGACGCTTACATAGAGGTTAAATAACTTCTCTGACCATTGGCTATTCCTTCATTTGTTGGTTTGGTTTTTTTTTTTTAAATGTCCGGGTTGGGAATTAACTCTGATCTGTGGAACCTTCTGTGATACTGGCTCTTGGGTTTCCTGAAGCAATATTACGATAAGAGTAACTGTGTCCACTTGCAAGGAACAAAACTGATGCTTGGCTGTTACGACTGAGACATTTGTAATTGAAGTTTGACTCCTAAATGAAATACTAGACCTCGTGCTGAGGTAAGGGACCTGCTATCTAATATGTAAAGTAATGTAAATTCCTGTTCCTTGTATTAAATGTTGGTTGTAGGCAAAAACAAAGCTGAGTCTTTGCTCTTCAGCTGTGTTTTGTCTGAAGCTAATTTGCCTTCATTAGAATCGCAGCAAACTTTACTGGGGCCCCTTCCTCTTTGAGAAGGGCTTGAAATGTATTTTTCATATGTAATAATTACAGTGACTATCAACTCTTTTGTAACTGTGTGCAGCGGTACGTAGCTTCCAGTTATTTATGTAAAATTTTAATACGCTTGTGACTCCTCTCTAACACAGAAGGACTTTCCAGCCTCCGTAAGTGAGATGGTAGCCGGTTACGGTCGACGATACGCTTGCCAGTTGCCTTCCAGAAGGGTTAAATTGCCTGCTAGTTACATTCAGTAGAACATTTAACTGCCCCTGCATGCCAGAAACAGTGGTGTACTGAACGCCTGGTGTATAACGAGCCTTAAATTAGCAAACAGTGGTGGAGACAACTGAAGGGGGCCTGCTACATCCCAAAGTCATTAGGGGAAAGAGGTAGAACTGAGCGAAGAAAGGGCTCGCATGGTGTCTCCGTGAATCGGAAAACACTGGTTACCATGAACAAAGCCAGAAAGTGTCTTTCTCTGGGAACTTCTTTCTGGCTAGTGTGTAAAGAGTTTTCTGTCACAAAATTAACTTTCCTTTCTCGCTATCTAAGGAAGAAAAATCGTGCTTTGGTTTGCACCACTCTGCGGTCGCTGTTCAGTGGAAGCTTGTCTAGGGGCCTTGGGGCTGGAAGTAGGCTCCCAGAAGCCGTGGTTTCATGTCCTAGAAATGAAAGCTTTGGTGTTCCCTTTCGGAAGGCGGATGATAAGGAGTGTTAAGCTACAGAATGTTGGACGTTGCCTTGGGCACATGCAGCGTTCTTGAGCTCGCAAGCGGGTTTGGAGCACGGGCCAAAACCACTGCCGCAGTGGAGCACAAACGCTGCACCCATGCCTCTGGTAGAGCGCGGCTTTGGGGCCGGCGCCGTCCCCAGGCGTAGTCCGCGGTTTGTCCGTCGGTACCTCCGTTGCGATGTCGGCGCAGGAGCGGGTACCGTCACCTCTCTGTGTTGTGGGGGGGTTGATTTTTTTTTTTTTTTTTTTTTCTCTGAGGGTGTAGCTCGCCATGCTGTGTGGGGAATATTCATCTTCTCACCTAAAAGCTGCCACCGTGTGGCAAAGGACTATTACTGCGTCACCAAGTAATGAACTCGCCCAGCTTTATGTTTTTTTCACCAATGCCCAGTTCCTCTTGGGCTGCAGAGGAAGGCTGGCTGGGGCTGAGGGCCAGGGAGGTGCCGCTGGCTTGACCCAGCGCACCGAGCTCGCGCTACGAGGC